ATTCGTAGTATTAGTAGAAAAATTCGGGATGTTACAGTTAGAAAGAATGTTGAACTCGTTCTAGTAGAGTTTAAAGTCGAGTTACACGTGGAGGAGAGTATATATATGGAGCACCCAACAGATAATTAATCCTCATATCCATGCAGAGAACAAAACCAGAAGGTGGTCCCTGCCCAAGCCTGGTGCCCTTAAATGTAATATACACGTTTCATTATTCAAAAACCCAATGTCCTTTTCCTGCGTGATCCTACAGGAACATTCATAACATTCTATTATTACTCTTGAAATGGACTGCCAGAAGGTTGTTCGCAATAGTAGAGCTTCTACAAAAGATGCTACTGAGTTGGTGAGATCATTCAGCAATGTACAGTCAAATTACAGAATCTAATTATCTGTGATGTCAGTTATGTAGCAAGACAAGCAAATTCAGTGGCTTGATTAGCCAAGGCTGCTGAATTTCAAGCACAACATTAAACATTTCATCAGTGATATCAATTAGTTTGGTTTTGTCAAAAAAAAAACAATTGTATATACTATATATAAATTTATAGGTGATAATTATCTTAATTAATAGTAATTATTTTCATTTTTATGATTATAAATAAAAATAAAAAATAAATATTTTTTTGGTATCTATGGAATAAATGAGATGCTGTCATGTAACTATGAGTATCAGACACAACGTAACAAATTATTCTTTTGAAATATAAATAAACTAAGAAAATTTTAATTTAAATATATTTATGTGTTAGCATTATTAATTGATCAAATCTAAAGAGACACTAGAGTTATTAATTCGAATGTTCAAATTAAGAAAATCATGTTGCTTAGCGTCACTTTATTTTTATCAGTTGAAATTACAACCACAAGGTTCGAATTTAGAATATTGTGCATAACTATTTTAATTCTTAAAAATAATGACTTAAAAAATATATTTAAAGTCATTTGTATTTTTAGCAAGAACATATGAAGGATGTACTGTTGCATGACAATTTTATTTATATACATATATAACTGATAATTAATTTTTATATAAATATCATTGGTATAATTAATTACATCCCCAATCTATTTTTTGTAGGCTAATGTTTTAAAAAAATTGCAATATATTTCTAAATTAAATAAGTTATTTTCGTAACAAATTCATTTTATTTATTTAATAATTTTTTTTGTCATTTCATCGTGATCCATGTTGTAATACGTTCGATTGCAAAAAATTTCAATTTTTTGTCTAAAACTTTTGACATAAGCTTCATTATAATAAATTCTTATTTTTGTTAAATAAATAATTTATTCAAATATACATTTCCTAAAAATGGTGAAAAAATTTGTGATTTTTTAATTAATTGACTCATTAATTACGTGATTCAAATCTAGTTTTCAAAATTATTCGAACGCCCAAGTCAGACTACTTTTTTTTTTTTAACTTTAAATAACATCAATTAAATTGAAATTGTGAACCTTTAACTTTTTTTAAATATGGCAAATATAAACAAATACACAATAAAAAAATTAAAAGAAAAATCATTAAAAAAATCAATAACTTAAATTTTCTTTGCATTGAATATACTTCAGTAAATAATTTACTCTTTATTATATGATATACCAATTTTATAATGCATAATTTTGTTTTGTTTTGAATGCAATGGTATAATGTATCATTATTTGTGTTAAACTTGCAATATCTATAGCTGTAAAACGGGCTGAGCCGCACGGGCCTAATTATGCTTTTGGGCTAACTTGGCCTGACTGGTATATTTTTTTTGGCTCGTGATATATACACTTCATTCTTTTCGTAAGTATACCTCTTTTATTTTTTTTTTAAATTATAAAATATTTGTAATCTTTTTTATTTTTCTAATATTATATTTTCAACTTTTAATTTACTACTTTCTTTTTCTTTTTCACACATTTTTTTTCCTTTTTTAGTTTTCACATGCACTATTTTGTTTTCCTCTAATTTCTTATCTATTATCGAGAAAGTTACACACACCTATAATATTATTGAAGACTAGTTCTACGTTTTATATGAGTGTGAAAACTAAAACCGAGAAAAGAGAAAATAAGAGTAAGAAAACTGAAAGAGGAAGGGAGAGAGTAATGTAAAATCAAAAGAATTAAAATTACCTATCAAAATAGGTGAGGTGAAAGAAAGGTAAGGGAGTACATCTAAAAATTGAAAAAATGAGAAAAGATGAGTAAACAAAAAGTACTAAATTAAATGTTGTGAGTGTAAAATTAAAAAAAAAATTAAAATATTTTAAAAAAAATTAACTATTTAAAAAAAATGAAGGTTTACTTATAAAAAAAAAAGGAGGTATATATATTATCAACCTATGTTTTTGTTTTACACAACTTGTATTTCTTATGGAATGTTTTCTATTTTGTCGTTAAGGCTATCAAGCCAAATTGATTTAATTAAAATAAATAAATAAAATAAAATAAAATAATTTTATTTTATTCCAAAAATAAAAGGTAAATCTATTTTTTAATAAATAAAATATTGTGTTCAATACAATGTAATACAATCGATGTTAATTCAACTAGTATTGTAGTTAGTATTGAATTTAATAAGAAAAAATGACTTAAAAAAAGAGAGTTTGTTTATGTCAATACAATAATTAAAAAATAACGCAGTGCAACGACCACGTGTAACATAACATACATTAATTATGAAATCTTAAAAAACGTAATTTTCTATAGTAACAAACTAATAATTTTTTTATGGAGTGAAAAAGGGGGAGAGAGAGGTAATCTCTTTAAACAAGGTAGACACGTTTTTACTCTGAATAGTTTACTTTCGGCTTCAATTGCTTTAATTTTATAGTGTGGTTGGATATGCAGAATTCAAATAGATAATTTATTTATTTAAAGAATTTTAAATTTTTTTTAGATGAAATATTTTGTTTAAATGCAAAATTTATAAATAAAAAAAAGAATAAATTAAGATTTAAATATTTATAAAAAATTTTAAAATAGTAAAATTTTAAATTCTTCAAAAAAAAAGTAAGAATTTGAATTTATCTTATTTCTTATCTCTTCATTCTTTTAAATTATTAAATATTTAAAAATATTTTTTTAATTATTAAATATCATCTAATATTAATTTTTAAAATTGATTAATATTTATTTTTATAAAATTTAATTAAAAATTTCAACGAATAAATATATTTTTAAAATTAATTTTATCATGGTGAAAGTAAATTATCATATCCAAACTAAAAATTTAAAATTTTAAAAACTTGAAATTTACTTATCCAAATAAAATATTTTTAAAATGATAGAAATTGAAATCAAAATAATTTAAATACAAAAATTTTTTAATTTCTTAAATTTGTGCAATTCCTCATCCAAACACACTCTAAGTAAAAGAAAAACTTATTAATTTTTGTTAGTAAAGAAAAAAAATATTAATGACTCACATCTTATGTAACTGTAAAATATCATTCCTAAAAAAAAATTCTTCTAAAACTGAAGTAATTGACTATTAGTAATAGTTATTAATTTCTTTTTAACTGTTTTTATCAAGCCAGCCTCTTCTAGTTGCATTTGGTCAATTGGGTTGTGTAAGTCGGATTCAAAGCGTTTCTTTTTCATAGTTAATTAACAGTAACAAAAATTAAATAAAATTACATCAATGAATACTACTATGACATGAATTTTTTTCACGCCTACATGAAATTGTTAATATACTACTGTATTTTTTAACTTTGAAATAGGATTCATTTATTAAGTAGTTAATGCATATTGAAATACTAAATATATTTAATGCCAAAATCGTGTATATAATTTAATGATTCTCTTCGATATTTTATATTTAAAATTTTATTAAATGAATAACATAAATAAATCATTATTGATGTAAAAAAAAATATATCAGTAATATAAATTTATTGAATGCATTGACTGGACAATAAAATTATGTAATATATAATATGAGAGTATGGGTTTAGACTTAATTTAATTATACAAAACTAATTTTTAAAATGATGATTGTTCTCCGGTTATTATGAAAATGGGTTAAAAAGTCTTATTCAACCTTACAAAACTAGTTTATAAGGTGGGGGTTATTTTCTACTTATAAACTCACTTGTTTTTTTTTTTTATCTCTAATAGATGTAAGATTTGAATTTTTTTCAATATATTCCTTATGTCTAATACTATTAGATTTAATACATAAATAAAAGACGGACAATCCTTTTTAATGATCTAAAATATGCAATTGTCAATATACATACACACACACACACACACACACATATATATATATATATATATATATATATATATGTGTGTGTGTGTGTGTGTGTGTACCCCCCTCATATATATATATATATATGTGTGTGTGTGTGTGTGTGTGTGTGTGTATACATATATATATGATGGGGGATCCATTTACTATAGGGGTAAGTTTACCTAGACTTACTCATTCATTAATTTATGTTTTACATCAAATTTCAACGATTTAACCATTGAATTTAAAGTTCTTAATGTATAGATCAGATTTACAAATTTAAAAAAAAAATAAAAAATCATTTTATACTTCGTTTCATTAATTCAAATTAATGTATAAAATAATTTTATGATTATCTGTCAATTTGAATTAATGAAATGAAGTATTAAATAATTTTCAATTTTTAAAAAAATTTACAAACTTAATCCATGCATTAAGAACTTTAAATTCAATGGTTGGATCGTTAAAATTTGATGTAAAACATGAGTTATTGAATGAAATAAGTCTACCTAGACTTACTCTTAAAATAAACGGATCCCTTATCTCTATATATATAGAGGGTTGGATGCAAGATATTCATCACACAAGAAAAATTAGATTTCAAAACTAAATTCCTCTTCAATGGCTTCTCGCTTCTATCAACTTTTTTTCTTGGGAGTTTTCTTTGCTGCTTTGGTTCTAACACCAGGTAATTGCAAGAAAGAAATTAGTTTCATTTCGCTTTTTTTTTTTTTTAAATATACTTGGCATGGGAAATTGATATTGTATTTTTATCTCTTAGTCTTGTAATTCAAAAAAGAAGGAAAAACAAAAATTATATAGTTTCATATCAATTTTATGTTGAAATTTCATATAACATGCAAGGAATTTAGTTTATAAAATTGTGAATTTGTTTTTATTATAGAACCAACAACAGCACTGGGTCCAGGACTTAACTGCATAGGGGAATGCACAAATGTTTCAGATTGCAATACAAATTGCATCCAGAAGAAGTTTAAGAGTGGATTTTGTGCGAAACAAGGGTCTGTTAATGTTTGTTGTTGTTCGTGATTGAGTTATATTGTACTTATGATTATTTAATAAATAATAAAACATGTGCCTGAAATGAGATTTTATTATGATTTAAGTGTGAAATTTGTTAGAAATATATTAATGTTTTTATGTTGAATGTGGCTATGTTATACTTTACCTATGTTTATTTTATAAAACTACAATAAAGTCTATGCTTGAACTGAGATTTTGTTATGATTGAAGTTGGTAACAGAGTGAAATTCGTGTGAAACAAAAGTCAATTAATGTTAGTTGTTGTATGTGATTGAGTTATATTGTACCCATGGTTGTTTTATAAAACTACAATAAAACATGCTCTTGAACTAAAATTTTATTACGATTGAAATTGGTAGGAATTTGTGATATTAATTATAACATGATGAATTAAAAGTTGTTGGTACAAAATGGTTTCACACCGGTGTTTTCTATGAACCAATATTCGACAGTCATCATTAGTATGAAGTCGGGTATCACATTACAATAAGTATAACTCATTTCAAAGTTATTGGTATTTTCTTTTATCGGATATGATTTTAAGTTTTATGAGTTCATTCTAAAAATGAGCTAAAGAATGAGAAACTGTAAATAATTAAGAAAGATGGCCTAATCAAGAATGAGAAACTGTAAATAATTAAGAAAGATGGCCTAATCAAGAGGGGATGAGTTGATTTTTTGTAGTTATCTTAGTTTTTAAATCTTTCCTATAATTTTTTAAGGAAGTGTGTTTACTTATCTTAATGCAATGAACATGCTTAACAACACATATTAATAAGTATGAAAACAAAAATACAAGAATATGAATTCAAGTGTAAGGAACACTACAACAAATGTGCTAAATAGCGGAGGTTATTTTTATGTTTAGTGGAGCTTTTTACCCTCTGCAAAATAAATTGCAGAGGTTTCCAAAAACCTCCACAATTACATTTGCCGCAAGCAATTAGCAACGTTTTTTTAAAAACTTCTGGTATTGTGAATATTTAACGGCAATTTTGTTAAGGAAGTTTTAAACCTACACTAATAGTGGAGATTTTTTAAAGGAGGTTTCAAAGCTATCCTAACTGTAGAGGTTTTTTAAAGGAGGTTTTAAAGCTACCCTAATTGATTGTAGAGGTTTTTTGCTAGAGGCTTTGAAACATGCTAATAGTAGAGGTTATTTAGTGGAGGTTTTATAGTAAATTAACTATAGAAGTCATTAATCAATATATTTTTGTGGAGTTTCTAATCCTCCTTGTTTTCCTTTGTAAAATAGTTTTTATACTCATTTTAATCACATAATCTACATGTATTACAATTTCTCATTTTCACTTGTGATATTTATAAGAAACTTAATATAAAAAATACTCATAAAATGGATGAAGAAATTTCATTACTAATAACCAAAAACACAACATATAGTTCAAAGATTTATAATTCAAACTTCTATTATAAATCCAAGTACAACATAAAATCCATAACATTGTCAAATTAGCCTCATACTAAACTTTAAATCCAAAATACATTATATGCAAACTAAGGGTTGCTAGCACCAGATGATCCTCTAATTGCATCCAAAGGTGTATTAGGAACACTTAAAGCATTATTTGGCTGAAATAAGAAAAGAAAAAATACTCAGTCAAGAAAAATATATATCACAAATATTATATGATAATGACAATTCCAAACACCCATGACTATATTAGCCAAGGATCAAAACAAACCAACCAATTAATGTAACTAGTAACATAACCCATAGTTAAAACTAGAACTACAGACCAACAACTCCATGAAGCCAAAACTATAATAGCAACACTAAACTAGAGATGTGTAGCAGCCAACTAGTTCCCAACCCAATAACCAAGGACTGAGAGTAGTCCATTTAATGCACTATTTTCATCCTTTCCTCGTGTTCCATTAATGTTGACTTTTATCACTAATCACATTCTAGATTTGAGTTTTAGATCCAACCCATTCCCATATTTGGTCCTTCTAATTTAGTCAGTATGCAATTTTGGTCTCCCAAGTTCTTTTGAGTCAATTAAGTTCCTTTATTTATAAAACAAGCACATTAAATTTCCACAAAAATATCCTAAAATTCTCCCTCTTCAAACCCTAATCTCACATATCGTAGAAATCCATCAAATTTTATCAAGTTTCAACTAAATTTCTTACTTCTAAATTTTAAAATTATATCCCGATTCCATCATAAACCCCCAAATATTTGGATAGAAAAATAATAATGAGGGTATTAAGTGACAAAGGGACCAAATTTGTCTGACTTTAAAAAGAGACTTAATTAACTCAAAAAAGATCTTGGTAAACCAAAATCGCACTATGGCCAATGTAGAGGAACCAAAAGTGCATCTAAGCCAAAAACAAAAATTACAACATTAAACTAGTCATAAATTACTGTATATAATAGTAATAATACCCTAAAAAGGATAAACAGATGCCAGATGAGCACATGTACATTATTAACCAAAAAAGCAAGGAGAAATATCTAAAATGCATGAACTATACAATATGAGGTTTGTGCAAGGATAACTCCATGAGTTAATGATATTAATTCTGTATAATAACATCATATTAATTATCTTACATAACATAACATATAGTACAAATGATTGTTAATTGAAATATTGAATAAGATAGGTAGGAATTCTTCATCATACACTAGTTGACCAATTGATTTTACATAATGGCATTATTACCTAACATCACTTCCTTTACGAAAGATTCGTATAGATGGATACCCTTGTATGTGATTCCTGGAAAATGATAATGAGATACATATGAATGGCAAAAAAACATAAATGGAGAATAACAAGTTCAATAAGCGTTTTTGTAATGGAGACTGATAGCAAAACCAAAAATTCAAAGGTTTGAACTTTACAAGAATCATTACAAAAATCACAAGGGCTAAGAGTGAAAACTAGAATATTTGCGAGAATGGAAAAGGTATTTAAGCCCCCTTCTAACTAATTAACAAACAAACTACTCTAACTGGAGCTTACTTGTTTCCCTTCTCTATCCCCCAACTCTGAGTAAAAGAAAAGAACATAAACTAAGAAGAATGCAACATCACAATGATATTTCCACATCTTGGCTTTGATTCCCAAACAATCAATTTTTACTTTTTAACAGAGAGCCATTAACTATCAATTCAATTTATTTACAGAAGTACCTCGCCTTTTTCTTTAATATGTATCAAAAAGTTTAATTGACACAGAAACTAACCTCCAGTTTTGTCAACAAAAAAAAAATCCGTGTTTTGCAGATAGAAGCACAACGTGAATCTCAATTCTCAACTCTTGGTGATAAAAGAAAGAAGAAGGGAAGAAAACAAAACAAATGAAAAATAGAGAAAATATAATTGTTTCCTGATGATGTTTAAATATAACAAAACAGAGGAGAAAGAAAGTAAAGATACTGCAAAAATTTTGAATTTAAGAACCATAATTTAAAAAAGCATCCCAAAAAATTATTAAAAAAGTAGTATAATGTAATATCATGGTAGTAAGTATCGCACGATTCGCGATACGTATCGTAATAAAAGACGGACAATCCTTTTTAATGATCTAAAATATGCAATTGTCAATATACATACACACACACACACACACACACATATATATATATATATATATATATATATACCGTTTTTCTCGTGCCATTACCATAGGATCTCATTCGACAAATATCACTGTGTTTGTTTTATTATGGAAATATAAGCATAAGTATGTAATATTTTTGTGTCCGTTATAAATTTTAAAAAATTATTTAGTATTATTCATCTCGAGAGAAGTTATCCTATCATATTTTATTTTATATTTTTATTCCCATATTGAGGGATAGGTGTTATACCCTCTACCCCAACATAATATTTAATAATTGTAAGATAAAATTAAAATAAATAAAACTTTCTCGATTAGATAAGTTTTAATTAACAAAGAGATAAAAGATTCACATTCGCATACATAATCATAGTTCACTTGCAAAAATTACAGAAGAAATAAAGTTAAAGGTTTTCCAAAAACAAAAGAAAGAAACTAAAGTCTTAAATTAGTCCTAACTATGCCTCGATATCACATATCCTATTAGAGCACGCCCAACTGAAGCCTAAGCTTCATCACCAACATTCTTATGTTGATGATCACCTGCAACACAATTTAAACACATACAAAGAGCAACAAGGGTGTGAAAAACATCTCACTCAAGTTCAGGTGCAGAAATAAAGGTTAGACAACACACACGCAACAAACATAATACAAGTCACAAGCACAAATTACATATAAACAAAACACATACAAAATCAATATCACATGCACACTCATTTACCAAGCAATGATGTCAAGGATTTGACTCATAAATGCACGCATGTGGCACCAATCACATATCTCATATCACTGGTGTGCTGACTAAACAACACACCTAAGGTAGTATAGGAGTACATGTAGGGAGCTACTCATACACTCTCAACTAGAAGGATGTACTGCTAGGATCTGTATGGGATAGCGAAAATGTGCAAGTTACGTCTCGTGCTCACAAACAAGCGAAATTGAGACATCCAAACCGCACTATCCCCTAGGACTCCGCCAAGTTGTTACACAAGGAAGGCTTTCCCTAACGGTATACTCCATATCGTACCCGTCACATAGATGCACATGATGCATGTCACACACATTCACACTTCATGGACTCATCACTCTACTTGTCTTGGAATTTCATGTCTTATCTCATTTCATCACATTTCACATTCTCCTAGTCATAGTATTCACAATAGCACGTAATTCACATCATGTCTCATGTCACTTGTTCACATTTCACATTTCTCATAGTCATACTCATTAGATCATCATTTGAAGATTCTTGTCCTTATCATGCTCATAAAACACATCACTTACGTTAACACAGCAATAAGGTAATTCTTACACAATTTGCACCTTCAAATAAGACATAAAACGTGTAAAACATCATACGGATCACGCCTGGCGCGCCTCAACTCATGCCCGGTGCATTAAATGCCACACCAAAAGCGAAGCGTCATACTTGCCGTGCCCGATGAATTTAATGTCGCGCCAAAGCGGAGAAATCTGCCTAACGAGACTTTCCTGTGCCTGATTTAAAAAAATTGCACTTGGCTTAACTATTAAGCATGGCTTAAAAAAATTGCATCTGGCTTCAAAACTGCACCCAACGCTAAGAGCTGCGTTCGACGCCCCAACGCGAACTTGCATTACTTAACTTCGCAAAATCTTGCATATTTCACAACCACACACGTAATTATAGCATTCAATTAGTAAAAAGACTTCAAATAACACCTAGAACACAAATTCATACTCAAATTTATGTAAACTACCTCAAATCTCGTCAAAAGATCATACCCCTAATTGTTTCTCATAGGGTTTCATATAGGAATCCATAGAACACTCTAATTCATATAAAAACTTATCTAATTTTGAAATCAAACACATATTCACGCATCACATCTAACCAGAAACCCAACAGAAAACTCAGATATTAAAACAGAAAACTTTGATAATTTGTCTGTTCCTAAAGTATGCATCAGGCAAGAGATTAGGGGGTCAATCATGCTACCTAACAATTATTCCCACACCTCCAAGCGAGGTTTCTCACTCCCCCTTACCTTGATGAACAGAAGATGAAGCATGAGCAGAATTGAGTTGGTTCTCTTCTTCAAGTTCTCCTTGGTCTTCAAAAGCGTAGAAAGAAAATGAGTAAGGAAGAAATGAATACATGAAATGACTTGGTAACCTCTAATAACCTCTCATAACCCCCTTTTTCTCAATTAATAAAATAAATATTAATAACAAATACCGAAAGACCTTCACGTCGTTCCTTCCCTTCTTATCACATAAATAATAGCCTAATATAATTAAAATACAACTCTTCCCTTTTAATCAAATAACATAAGCATCATAAAATAAAATACATTTCACAAAATTACCTTCATAATACTAATCAAAATAATAATCATAAAATCATGTCTCGTGAATAAAATATAATTTATATAACAGAGTAAATAATATTCATAACTCTAAAATAAATACATTACAAATAATCAAAATACACTTTCTCTTTTTTTTTTTAATTAAAAATAAGATATGCTTAGCCTTTGATAAAATACATTTCATTAAAACATGTTCCATATCAAATAATTAAATATTAATTAAAAATCATGTTTTATATTAAAATAGAGCTCACTTACACTACTACAAAAAGCGCATTTTACATCGCCATATTTACATCGGTTCACCAAAAACCAATGTAAAAAATATATGCGGTGGCAATCTTGTAAATAAATACAAAATATGAGCATATTTACATCGGTTGTTCCTAAAACCGATGTAAATATGAAGTATTCTACATCGGTTTCCTTTTAACCGATGTAGAAGGGATGAGCAATAGTGACTTTGGCGCCTCTCAACACTTTTTCCTTTCTCTCGTCTTCGACCAAACCCATCTTTAGCGCCTCCGCAAACCCTAACCCTCGACCCTTCCTTCTCTAACCTTCCGTGATTTCTTGAAATCAATGGCCAAAGGCACTGATTCTGACGAGTTCGTCTTGCTCTCTAGGGTTCGCTCTGGCCTCAAGCGTGAGTTTGCCTATGCCATGAAGGCCCAGTCCGAGATCTACGCTGGCTCCTTGGGCCAGACGCGGGCCAGCAAGAACCATCTTGACCCACCGCTTCAGCCCGTAAGCGCTCCAGGAAGGCCGAGGAGACCAAGCCCCCCGAGGATGCCGCCATGAGCGAGGAAGAGGCCAAGAGCGACGTCGTTGATCTTCAGAGCGATGATGAACCCAAGATTCATGCCGGAGAGTCTACGCCAATGTCGGTTTGCGAAGAAATTGAAGGAACTTCTTGCTACGGGGATTCTTGAGGGATTGCCAGTGAGGTACAAGAAGGGGACGAAGGTATTGTTTGTTTGGTTCTTTTGATTGTCTTGGTTTTAGATTTGAATTGGGAGTTTCTGCTTGATATGTGAGTTTCATGTGTTTGAGGATTTTTGTAGGCACGGAAGCCTGGAGAATCAGCGCTTCAAGGAGTGATTCGTGACTCTGGGGTTTTTTGCTTTTGTGAGATTTGTAAGGGGGTTGAAGTAAGTAAGTTGAGGATAGGTTACTTTTTTTTGTTTCAATAACTCATGTTTTACATCAAATTTTAACGATCCAACCATTGAATTTAAAGTTCTTAATGCATGGATTAAGTTTGTAAATTTTTTTAAAAATTGAAAATTATTTAATACTTCATTTCATTAATTCAAATTGACAGATAATCATAAAATTATTTTATACATTAATTTGAATTAATGAAACGAAGTATAAAATGATTTTTTATTTTTTTTTTAAATTTGTAAATCTGATCTATACATTAAGAACTTTAAATTCAATGGTTAAATCGTTGAAATTTACTAACAAAAAAAGGAAAATAAGTTAACTGTAGGTAAGAAACAGATTGATTTGGGGGGAAAAGAGTAAAAGTAAATAAACTAGCAATAGTACCTCCTGCATAAATCTCCTTCTTGAGTGCAATCTACCGTTCTTTGAAGTGGGTCGACAACGCAACAAACTTGAACCCTTGAAAAAAAAAATCAATTTCCCCAAAACCCCATCAGAGCCAAAACTTAATAATCACCTCTAATGATGAAACCCCCATGAAACCATGACCTATAAATCACAAATCAAAACCACAATTAATAAAAAAATATAAGCTAAGGAAAAAAGGAGGAAATATGTGTGTACAGAGCGCTGCGACAATGGGAAGCACGTACGACAATTGGTAGAAGCTTGGGACCAAAATCAACGGGTTTAAGCGTTTCCAACGATACGGCGATTGGTAGAAGCGCTTAGGATTGGTGGGGTTTTCTAATTTCTCTATGCTTTGATTCAATTGATGGAGAAACTCGTATGACTTCGTCTTTCAAAGGGACCATGCCCATGAATGGAACGGAAATGCTAATGGCGGTATGGCCTGAGTTATCTACGCAAGAATCATCTGAGAAAGAAACAAATGTTCTTCACTACAAGGATGGCACTCAAACGTCGAACTGTGTTTAGGGTTTTCTCATTTCTTTGACAAGAGGGAGGCGCGCAGGTAGAAGGGAATTCTAATTTTTTGATAAGAGGGAGGCGCGCGGGTAGTTTAAGTGAAAAAGTATTTTATTTTATAAAAAAATGAGATTTCAGCATGAAAATATTATTTAATTAGAAGAGGTTATAAACTTCCGTAAATTAAATAAAAAAATTACAGTGTTTTTGCCTAATTTAATAATTTCAGGAGGTTTTTAAAACTTCCGCAAAATAACCTCTATTATTTAATATTTTTTTTGTAGTGGAAGGAGAAGAATGCACATCCAACTTTATACTAATTCAACCATATACACTTATGACTTACATCTAGTCCATAATTAACCCAATTGAGACTTTTCACTAATCTTTAATGTCAGAAGTTTTACAATGACAATACTACATACAATACAGTTCTACATTATTAAAGAAACCACTTCTTGAACCCCAAGAAGCATCTACTTGTAGTACTCCTCTATAAGATCATCTCTTCTTAAGAAATCTATTTAAGGTAACTACAAAAATAGAGAATTAATGGAATGAATTCACCTAATTTATAGAACATATCAAAGAAGGTGAATCAACCATGTAGCTTAGCGTTTCACCCTATGAAGATGATGATCAACTCAATTCTTGAAATTTTCTTGAGGTTACCACAAAGGTCAGAGAACCTCTTTCTTGCAAAGAGAAATTATTGAGAATGTTTTTCGTAAAATGATATTTCAAAGATTCAAGTTCTAAGAGTTCTCTACCCAAGGTGTTAAAAATGATATATAAGTTTTTTGACTGAAATAATTGATTGTTTACATGGATAATCAATTATTTTATTCTTAGCAATTATGGAAAGCAACCAAGAATATTTTAATCGATTATTTTGAGCAATAATTTTTTATTCCAAAGACATGTTTCAAATTTTGGCTTGCAATTGGCATCACTATTTGCAACCACGAAATTAGGTTGGATTTGGATGACATTTGGCGTAGATCAAGTGCAACCCAATTTAGGCTAGCACATGTGCACTAAATACATCACAAATTAAACCTAAATGTGACCTAATTTTAACTAACTAGCCTATTTGACCTTTTCTCCTCAAAACCTAATCTAATGGCCTAAATACAATGGCCTACATATTCTAAACATCAAGAAATAATAAAAGAAGAAAAATAAGCCCAATACTAGGTACCAAAAGAACTAAGGCCCCATTATGCCCAAAATAGGCTCAATAAGACCTATGGCCCAAAATCCTTATTCTCCTAGGCCAAAAATATGACACCTAATATATGATAAAAGACTATATACAAGCATATGTATGGGAATTATTAGGCTTTTAGTTAGTGACCAATAGCCCAAGATGAGCCAAGGCCCTTTAACCCAAAAATGGGCCTAATCCTCTTAGGGTCTTCATGACTAGCTCATTCATCTTGGATCCTTCAATATATCACCTCTTGTCCTCCTTGGCATGATACCAAAAATGATGGTAAATCCTTGAAGAAAGGTTGGGGAATTTCTCCAAGAGCTTGCTCCTTGCATCTTGATCTTTCTTTGAGTTGATTCCACCGTTCAAATGGATTGAAAATAGAGGAATAGACTTTAGATCCTCTAGATTTGGAAGCACCCTTACCGAGGAAGCAAATGATTGCTCACAAAGTTGCCTAACCTAGAAGAATTCTAGGAATCCTTAGAAGCTAGACTAATATGACTTCAAGTAGGATAGAATTTGCATAAAAGGCTAAATGCTCTGTATGATATACTCAAAGTAATCACAAATGAGAGAGGAAAGCTTGATTTATAACCAAGAGAATGATGAATGTGGAGTCACAAAATGACTAGGTGTATTGATGCAAAATTTGAATTCAAATTTTGGCTTTCCAATGGCATCACCATGTGCAACCATGAAATTTGGTTGCATTTAGGTTGGATTTGGATGTCATTTGGTGTGGATCAAGTACAACCTACCTTAGGCTAGCACAAGTGCACTAAATACATCACAAATTAAACCTAAATGTGACCTAATTTTAACTAACTTGCCTATTTAACCTTTTCTCCTCAAAACCTAATCTAATGACCTAAATACAATGGCCTACATATTCTAAACATCAAAAAATAATAAAAGAAGCATAACGAGCCCAATATTAGGTACCAAAAGACGTAAAGCCCATTAAGTTCAAAATAGGTCCAATAAGACCTATGACCCGAAAATCCTATTCTATTAGGCCCAAAATATAAGGCCAAAAATATAAAACCTAATATATGATAAAAGACTATATACAAGCATATGTATGGGAGTTATTGGGCTTTTAGTTAGTGACCCATTGCCCAAAACGAGCCAAGGCCCACTAACCCAAAAACGGGCCCAATCCTCCTAGGTCTTATAGACACCCAATTTCGTCCGGGGGCATACAAATAACAAGATAGGACATCAGAGGGCCCAAAGGCCCAAACCAATTTTTTAGTGGCCCGGAACGGGCCGTTCCAAAATCGGAACGGGTCGTTCCCAAGTCCGGAACGGGCCGTTCTGGGCTTCTAAAAAACCTAAAAAATATAGGTTGGAACGGGCCGTTCTGGACCAGAACATTTACTATAGGGGTAAGTTTACCTAGACTTACTCATTCATTAATTTATGTTTTACATCAAATTTCAACGATTTAACCATTGAATTTAAAGTTCTTAATGTATAGATCAGATTTACAAATTTAAAAAAAAAATAAAAAATCATTTTATACTTCGTTTCATTAATTCAAATTAATGTATAAAATAATTTTATGATTATCTGTCAATTTGAATTAATGAAATGAAGTATTAAATAATTTTCAATTTTTAAAAAAATTTACAAACTTAATCCATGCATTAAGAACTTTAAATTCAATGGTTGGATCGTTAAAATTTGATGTAAAACATGAGTTATTGAATGAAATAAGTCTACCTAGACTTACTCTTAAAATAAACGGATCCCTTATCTCTATATATATAGAGGGTTGGATGCAAGATATTCATCACACAAGAAAAATTAGATTTCAAAACTAAATTCCTCTTCAATGGCTTCTCGCTTCTATCAACTTTTTTTCTTGGGAGTTTTCTTTGCTGCTTTGGTTCTAACACCAGGTAATTGCAAGAAAGAAATTAGTTTCATTTCGCTTTTTTTTTTTTTTAAATATACTTGGCATGGGAAATTGATATTGTATTTTTATCTCTTAGTCTTGTAATTCAAAAAAGAAGGAAAAACAAAAATTATATAGTTTCATATCAATTTTATGTTGAAATTTCATATAACATGCAAGGAATTTAGTTTATAAAATTGTGAATTTGTTTTTATTATAGAACCAACAACAGCACTGGGTCCAGGACTTAACTGCATAGGGGAATGCACAAATGTTTCAGATTGCAATACAAATTGCATCCAGAAGAAGTTTAAGAGTGGATTTTGTGCGAAACAAGGGTCTGTTAATGTTTGTTGTTGTTCGTGATTGAGTTATATTGTACTTATGATTATTTAATAAATAATAAAACATGTGCCTGAAATGAGATTTTATTATGATTTAAGTGTGAAATTTGTTAGAAATATATTAATGTTTTTATGTTGAATGTGGCTATGTTATACTTTACCTATGTTTATTTTATAAAACTACAATAAAGTCTATGCTTGAACTGAGATTTTGTTATGATTGAAGTTGGTAACAGAGTGAAATTCGTGTGAAACAAAAGTCAATTAATGTTAGTTGTTGTATGTGATTGAGTTATATTGTACCCATGGTTGTTTTATAAAACTACAATAAAACATGCTCTTGAACTAAAATTTTATTACGATTGAAATTGGTAGGAATTTGTGATATTAATTATAACATGATGAATTAAAAGTTGTTGGTACAAAATGGTTTCACACCGGTGTTTTCTATGAACCAATATTCGACAGTCATCATTAGTATGAAGTCGGGTATCACATTACAATAAGTATAACTCATTTCAAAGTTATTGGTATTTTCTTTTATCGGATATGATTTTAAGTTTTATGAGTTCATTCTAAAAATGAGCTAAAGAATGAGAAACTGTAAATAATTAAGAAAGATGGCCTAATCAAGAATGAGAAACTGTAAATAATTAAGAAAGATGGCCTAATCAAGAGGGGATGAGTTGATTTTTTGTAGTTATCTTAGTTTTTAAATCTTTCCTATAATTTTTTAAGGAAGTGTGTTTACTTATCTTAATGCAATGAACATGCTTAACAACACATATTAATAAGTATGAAAACAAAAATACAAGAATATGAATTCAAGTGTAAGGAACACTACAACAAATGTGCTAAATAGCGGAGGTTATTTTTATGTTTAGTGGAGCTTTTTACCCTCTGCAAAATAAATTGCAGAGGTTTCCAAAAACCTCCACAATTACATTTGCCGCAAGCAATTAGCAACGTTTTTTTAAAAACTTCTGGTATTGTGAATATTTAACGGCAATTTTGTTAAGGAAGTTTTAAACCTACACTAATAGTGGAGATTTTTTAAAGGAGGTTTCAAAGCTATCCTAACTGTAGAGGTTTTTTAAAGGAGGTTTTAAAGCTACCCTAATTGATTGTAGAGGTTTTTTGCTAGAGGCTTTGAAACATGCTAATAGTAGAGGTTATTTAGTGGAGGTTTTATAGTAAATTAACTATAGAAGTCATTAATCAATATATTTTTGTGGAGTTTCTAATCCTCCTTGTTTTCCTTTGTAAAATAGTTTTTATACTCATTTTAATCACATAATCTACATGTATTACAATTTCTCATTTTCACTTGTGATATTTATAAGAAACTTAATATAAAAAATACTCATAAAATGGATGAAGAAATTTCATTACTAATAACCAAAAACACAACATATAGTTCAAAGATTTATAATTCAAACTTCTATTATAAATCCAAGTACAACATAAAATCCATAACATTGTCAAATTAGCCTCATACTAAACTTTAAATCCAAAATACATTATATGCAAACTAAGGGTTGCTAGCACCAGATGATCCTCTAATTGCATCCAAAGGTGTATTAGGAACACTTAAAGCATTATTTGGCTGAAATAAGAAAAGAAAAAATACTCAGTCAAGAAAAATATATATCACAAATATTATATGATAATGACAATTCCAAACACCCATGACTATATTAGCCAAGGATCAAAACAAACCAACCAATTAATGTAACTAGTAACATAACCCATAGTTAAAACTAGAACTACAGACCAACAACTCCATGAAGCCAAAACTATAATAGCAACACTAAACTAGAGATGTGTAGCAGCCAACTAGTTCCCAACCCAATAACCAAGGACTGAGAGTAGTCCATTTAATGCACTATTTTCATCCTTTCCTCGTGTTCCATTAATGTTGACTTTTATCACTAATCACATTCTAGATTTGAGTTTTAGATCCAACCCATTCCCATATTTGGTCCTTCTAATTTAGTCAGTATGCAATTTTGGTCTCCCAAGTTCTTTTGAGTCAATTAAGTTCCTTTATTTATAAAACAAGCACATTAAATTTCCACAAAAATATCCTAAAATTCTCCCTCTTCAAACCCTAATCTCACATATCGTAGAAATCCATCAAATTTTATCAAGTTTCAACTAAATTTCTTACTTCTAAATTTTAAAATTATATCCCGATTCCATCATAAACCCCCAAATATTTGGATAGAAAAATAATAATGAGGGTATTAAGTGACAAAGGGACCAAATTTGTCTGACTTTAAAAAGAGACTTAATTAACTCAAAAAAGATCTTGGTAAACCAAAATCGCACTATGGCCAATGTAGAGGAACCAAAAGTGCATCTAAGCCAAAAACAAAAATTACAACATTAAACTAGTCATAAATTACTGTATATAATAGTAATAATACCCTAAAAAGGATAAACAGATGCCAGATGAGCACATGTACATTATTAACCAAAAAAGCAAGGAGAAATATCTAAAATGCATGAACTATACAATATGAGGTTTGTGCAAGGATAACTCCATGAGTTAATGATATTAATTCTGTATAATAACATCATATTAATTATCTTACATAACATAACATATAGTACAAATGATTGTTAATTGAAATATTGAATAAGATAGGTAGGAATTCTTCATCATACACTAGTTGACCAATTGATTTTACATAATGGCATTATTACCTAACATCACTTCCTTTACGAAAGATTCGTATAGATGGATACCCTTGTATGTGATTCCTGGAAAATGATAATGAGATACATATGAATGGCAAAAAAACATAAATGGAGAATAACAAGTTCAATAAGCGTTTTTGTAATGGAGACTGATAGCAAAACCAAAAATTCAAAGGTTTGAACTTTACAAGAATCATTACAAAAATCACAAGGGCTAAGAGTGAAAACTAGAATATTTGCGAGAATGGAAAAGGTATTTAAGCCCCCTTCTAACTAATTAACAAACAAACTACTCTAACTGGAGCTTACTTGTTTCCCTTCTCTATCCCCCAACTCTGAGTAAAAGAAAAGAACATAAACTAAGAAGAATGCAACATCACAATGATATTTCCACATCTTGGCTTTGATTCCCAAACAATCAATTTTTACTTTTTAACAGAGAGCCATTAACTATCAATTCACTTTATTTACAGAAGTACCTCGCCTTTTTCTTTAATATGTATCAAAAAGTTTAATTGACACAGAAACTAACCTCCAGTTTTGTCAACAAAAAAAAAATCCGTGTTTTGCAGATAGAAGCACAACGTGAATCTCAATTCTCAACTCTTGGTGATAAAAGAAAGAAGAAGGGAAGAAAACAAAACAAATGAAAAATAGAGAAAATATAATTGTTTCCTGATGATGTTTAAATATAACAAAACAGAGGAGAAAGAAAGTAAAGATACTGCAAAAATTTTGAATTTAAGAACCATAATTTAAAAAAGCATCCCAAAAAATTATTAAAAAAGTAGTATAATGTAATATCATGGTAGTAAGTATCGCACGATTCGCGATACGTATCGTACGATACGATACGATACAGAGCCTCCGCGATTCGAATCGCATGTAGAATCGTTTTTGATTACGAATCGTATGCGAATCGCTTGAATCGTGTTCGGAATCGGAAAATCGCGATTCATAGGAGAAATCGCACGATTCTGAACATTTTGGGTCACCCCCGAAACCGGGTCGGGTCACGCACGACCCGGTTCTAAAAACCCTAAAAAAATGATTTTTTAAAAAAAAAAAAAATCTCACATATGAAGAGAGATTAGGAGGAAGAGTTTTCATGGGAAATGATATGCCGTGCAAAACAGTTGGTATAGGTACAGTCCAACTCAGGATGCATGATGGAGTGATCAGAACTCTTACAGAAGTAAGACATGTACCAGATCTGAAAAAGAATCTTATCTCTGTTGGAGTTCTAGATTCTAAAGGCTTTAAGTGCAATGTTAAAAATGGGGTAATGGAGATCAAGAGGGGGGTCTACAGTTGTGATGAGAGGTTTTAAGAAGGGAAATCTCTATATGCTTCAAGGATCAACTAGTTCTATATCAGAATCTGTTTCTGTTGCTAAAAAGAACATACATGATCTCACCTACCTATGGCACATGAGACTTGGTCACATGAGTGAAAGGGGAATGATGATTCTAAGCAGGCAACAATTGCTTGGAAATCATACTGTCAAAGAACTCAGATTCTATGAGCAATGTGTTTTTGGTAAACAGCACAGAATCAAGTTTCCAAAAGCTCAACATTCAACCAAATCTACTTTGGATTACATTCACTCAGACTGCCGGGGACCTTCTCAAGTACCTTCGCTTGGAGGAGGCAGGTATTTTCTCTCAATCATAGACAACTACTCAAGGATGACTTGGATATTCATTATGAAGCACAAAAATCAAGCTTTTAGATGCTTTAAGGAATGGAAGATTTTGATGGAAAAACAAACAAGTAAAAGGGTCAAAAGATTGAGGACCGATAATGGTCTAGAATTCTGCACAAAAGAATTCAATGACTTCTGCAAGGCTGAAGGTATTGCTAGACAATACACTATAAGAAACACTCCACAACAAAATAGAGTTGCCGAACAGAACTCTACTGGAGAGAGCTAGATGTCTTCTATCAAATGCTAGATTGAGTAGAAGTTTTTGGGTTGAAGTAGTAAGCACAGCTTGTTATTTGATAAACAGATCACCATCCACTGTTATAGATTGTAAAATACCTATTGAGGTATGGTCAAATAAACCTGCAAACTATTCCTTACTTAGAGTTTTTGGTTGCAATGCATACTATCATGTTAATGAGGGTAAGTTAGAACCTAGATCTAAGAAGGGTCTGTTCATGGGATATGGTGATGGAGTTAAAGGGTATAGAATCTGGTCACCTTCTAAAAGAAAGGTTATTCTAAGTAGAGATGTTATATTTGATGAATCTCACATGTTTCACCCGAGTTTGGAGTTTACTGTTTCAGGTAGAAATCAAATAGTTCTCAAACAGATGGAGGATGGTAACACTTCAGGAACCACACAAGATAAGGACAAATCAGAAGATCTTAATGAAGAGTCACAACAGCAACAATTCGAAGTTGATGATAGTGATCCCTCAAGTCCTCAAGGATCAAGCCTTCAAACTCAATTTGATACAGAAGCCTATCAAAAGCCTAAAAGAATATCTAAGCCTCCTTCCAGGTATGGTTTTGAAGACATGTTGACGTATGCACTGCATGTAGCAGAAGAAGTTGATACATCTGAACCAACCACATATAAGGAAGCCATGGATCATATCGAAGCAGATAAATGGATCCTTGCTATGAAGGAAGAAATGGAATCACTTCAAAAAAACCAAACCTGGAAGCTTTTGTTGAACCCTTTATTGATCATGAAAGTGTCAAATCTCTTGTACCATTGCCTAGGTGATTGTTTCAGTCCATAGAGTGACTTTTGTAGTTGACACACAATCTTCTTTTCCTAATTTCACAAAGCCTTCCGGTTGCTTCATTAAGATATCCTCTTCTAGTCTTCCATGTAAGAAGGCTGTCTTTACATCCAATTGCTCAAGTTCTAAGTCTTGACAGGCTACAAGGGCTAGAAGAACCCTTATAGAAGTGTGCCTCACAACGGGTGAGAAGATTTCATTAAAATCCACACCTTCCTTCTGACTAAACCCCTTTGCGACTAAACGTGCTTTGTATCTTAAGGGTTCAACTCCAGGGATTCCAGGTTTCCTTTTGAAGATCCATTTGCATCCTACTACATGTCTTCCTTTTGGCAATTTTACTAACTTCCAGGTTTGGTTTTTTTGAAGTGATTCCATTTCTTCCTTCATAGCAAGGATCCATTTATCTGCTTCGATATGATCCATGGCTTCCTTATATGTGGTTGGTTCAGATGTATCAACTTCTTCTGCTACATGCAGTGCATACGTCAACATGTCTTCAAAACCATACCTGGAAGGAGGCTTAGATATTCTTTTAGGCTTTTGATAGGCTTCTGTATCAAATTGAGTTTGAAGGCACTTAATCCATGCATTAAGAACTTTAAATTCAATGGTTGGATCGTTAAAATTTGATGTAAAACATGAGTTATTGAATGAAATAAGTCTACCTAGACTTACTCTTAAAATAAACGGATCCCTTATCTCTATATATATAGCTTCGTGACTAGCCCATTTTTCTCTAGTCCTTCAATGTGTCACCTCTTGTCCTCCTTGACATGATTTCATCAATCAGTTGGTTAACTTCACATATGACTTGGTAATGCATGCCAAGTTCATGATATGTCTATACCTAATTGTACCATTCTTAACAGTGAAACCAAACTTTTGTAGTGTAAGCGATAAAACTCGAGAAACCAAAGGAGGGATTGTTATCCCATTTTGTTATTGTGGAGAAAATACAAACACTAGAAGGGGTTGAATAGTATGTATCAAAAACTCGCATGTTTTTTATAGTGAAGTAGTAACACTAGTCAGATGGAGTGCAAGGAGAAATCAAATGGAATACTAGATATTTTTATACTAGCTAGTTTGTTTTAACCACTGACACTATGTCTAGTTCTCAATCCAATCAAATTGATTTCCATTTTCTTTCAACTAATAACAAGTATTCTTTCAACAAGCCATATTTTGCTCAACCCTAAATATTCTTTTGTAGTCAAGCCTCTTTAAGCTTAAACTAAGTATTCTTTTACAAAAAAAAAACCTCTCCAAGCTCAAGGTTATAATACAATGGTTATAAAAGTTACACAAATATTGTGTTCATCTCAACTAGGCATTATACAACCAATATAAAGTAGTGAGCTTTTATAAGAAAGAATAAGGATTATACACAAGTATAATTTACAGAGTGTATGTTTATATACAAGTCTTTTCTGTATGTTATGTCTCGTATCCTTCTTGAGCTTTGATTCTTGTTATATAGTAGCTTAGAAAAGATGATTGTTGCAACATTTTGACTTCATCTCACAAGTTTACTTTATTTGTCTTCATCGTCTTTTATTGTGATTATAAGTAACCGTTGACTCATTTAATAAAACAATTAAATGCATTTCACCAAATGGTACCTCTTATCTATTCAAAGAAGCTACTTATCATCTTTCCATACCAAATGGAGCTTGTAGAAGCAATTTTAGCGCAATGTAGTTACAATAGTGACTTTATCTATTTTTCCTCATGATTTTGGGGATCTTCATCCTTGGTCTTGATGGAGACCCTGTCCTTTTCACTTTAACAGATTTGTGAGTTTCGAGATGACTTTCTAGTTTGATCTGTTAAGGAATAAAACATTCAAAAAAATGTTTTTTTATTAGTTTCAATAAATAATGAACATGAAACATATTGTATACTTGTCTAATTTACATTGTCTTATAGATGATCTACGTCTTACACTTTGTCTTATAAGTATTTTCAAAGATATTTTTGTAGATGCTTTTGAAGATTTTTTCTGTTATAAATATGTTTCATTTGTTAGCATTAAAACCCTAAAGTTTGAGGGATCTAAGATTGTCTTTTGACTTAATAGTTGTGATTAAGCCGAAGCTTTGGGTGTGAAAACAATTGAGTTGGTTCACTAGGATGGAGTCACTTAGACTGCTCATGTTTTTAGGAGATCTCCATAGGTGAATGTGTGACGCACATTGTAACGACCTGCCATGGTCCTTACACTTAGTGAAATCGTACTACTACTAGTGAACTAAGAGAATATTAAAATTGAATGACTCATACATACAGGTATATAAATATAAAT